TGCCAGGAAGACAGGTGCAAGGCTTTTTGAATCCCGCCCCCCCCCCCAACACACAGGGAAGCTGAAATGGGAGCTGCTTCTGCTCTTCATGGGTGGAGAGATGATTCTACTGCCTCAGGCGCCCAGAATTCTGCCTTCAGGAGGGGAGTGGGGGGGGGGGGTGGTTGCAGCCTAGGGCTGGGTTGGAAGCAAGCTCCGCCCTCCTCCCGTTACTGGATCCAGTGCCTACCCTGGATGCTGGTGCCACAGATTGGAGGATTCGCCATTCGCCTATTAAGCCACGTCATCAGCCCCACAAAATTAATCATTTTAAACCTAGTAATTCAGGGCCCGGTGTGATAGCTTAGTGTCAGAAGTCCTCATTTTGCATGCACCAGGATTCCATAAGGGCGCCAGTGCTAATCCCGGCTGTTCCACTTCCCATCTGTTAGTTATTTAAAAGAATGGAAGAGTTCTAGTTCTAGGTCATAGGGTATTACGATACTTTACGTGCAGCTAATTCTCGCAACCTGGTTCTTTACTGTGAGCTGAAAACACCAGACACAACGACATATCTTGGGAAGTTTATTCCAGCGGGGCAGGAAAAGAGGGAAGGGGAAAGGGAAGGGGGGGAGGGAGGCCAGAAGGAGGAGAGAGGGGAAGAGCAAGGAAGAGAGGAACCAAGAAGAGGAGAGAGGAGGAGAGAGAGAGAGGGAGAGAGACAGAGAGAGAGAGAACCGGAACAAGGGAAGGGGGGAAGGGAGGAGGAGAGAGAGGAAGAGCAGGGGAGAGGAACCCAGAGAGCAAGAGAGAGAGAACCGCACCTGGGGGCCTTTTTTGTCTGCCAGGTGTGGGGGGCGGGGATTCGGAGGGATTGAGGTTAAGGCCCCAGGGGATTGGTGCCTGCAGGTGAATGCCTGGGGATGATTGGTGAGTGGGCGGGGTGGGGGAAGGGGCTGGGAGATTGGGGGTGGGATTATCAGGTGGAATGCCAGGTTACATCTGATTGGTGGATGGCTGGACTGGCGCGAATTCCGTGAGCTGTGAGGAAGAAGGAATGGCGCAGGGTCCAGGGTGGGATATTGGAATAAGTCCTTACATTTCCTCCCTTTTGTTATATATAAAGGAAGAGGGGCATTGTTCTCTATGGCTTCTAGGAGCTGTTTTCTCTTGGCAGTGGTTGCAGCCTTGTGGAATAGGAGATGGAGGAACGCTTCTAGTCCTGCAAAAGAAACTGGTTAATGATTTGATTAGAAAAGAATTTTTATATTTCAGTGGATGGGAATGGAGGGAAGGGTTATTAAGAGTCCCTTTGAAAAGCTGGCTTGAGTTCATTTTCTGTTAGCCAGGCCTTGTTATACTGGATTCTTCAATTCTCCTGAATGGTCAATGTAGACAGGGTAGCTTCACCAGGAACCAGAGACCCTGACTGCCTATCATACTATCTAACTCCTCCATTGCCAAACAGGAGTGAACAGGGATAATGGGACGACGACCGCTCTAGCTTCTTCGAGCTGAAAGGGGGCGTTGAGCAACTGTAGCAGTAGGGGGGTTCTAGAGGTTCCTGGTAGAAGGTAGAAGTCATCAGATGTCTGAAGTACTACTGCCTGGCACTTGAAGGCTTCTCTTTCTTGGTCTAGATAACAAAACATATTAGAATTATAATCTTTCCCAACTTAGCAGGTCATGAGTTCAGTTAGAAACCCAGTTGGAATACTTGGGCTTTCAAGCTTAGATATAAAAGAATGGTCAGGTTTCAACCTTTGTTAGAGGAAACATTACATTAGATTAAAACAATGAACTAGATTTATATTAGGTTTAACTTAACTATTTCACATCCCAATTTTTGAAACATACCCAATGAATGCAATGGAACACATGAAACCTTTTTGGTTGTATAAAATTGTTATCTGAAACAATGAAAGGATTAGTATGTGGCATCAGAACATACAGGTAAATGCAAGCCAACTTCCGTTTGGAAATGCTATAGTAGTTTTGCATCTAGCTAGGGAATGGGCAAGTGTTCGATTTTTCTAAACAATTATACTTTACTAATCGTTGTAAGCCCTAAGAGTCTCAGGAAAACATCTAGCCTAGAACATATAGCACAGCACTTAAAACATTCTGTTACAAGACCTACTGGTCACATTGTAGATGGCACAAGATTTTAACTATTTAGTATTCCAACAAGATTTTACAGAACTTTATACACTTTAAGGCAGAGGCAAGCAATCTACTAACTTACAGGCTAACAAACCATGTACTGGCAATTGAAGAACACAAGAATCTTAAGTAGATGAGCTGAGAAATCCAAAATAACTTGGCAAATAAGGAGGACATGAAGTCTACCTCATGACAGTTCAGGGATCCTACTTTGGTGAAGTCTAGTAAAACTGAAGAGCGAGATGGCAGACATGTCTATCAGGAGCCTGGTCATTGATGCAGGCTGAACAGTTACAGGTTAACTAACTTTTCCCTCAAAATGGCTTCTTTTCTGAGCTTCTAGATTACTCTGTCACCTAAGCTAATTTGGGGCTCCTGAGAGACCCTGATGGTCACTGTAAGAGAGGGAAGAAGCCAAAGCTAGCTAGGACAGAGAAGGCAGTGTCCAGATGGAAACTTACAGTTTTCCCTTCCACTGTGAGAACCACCCGTGGCTCTTGGGTGCTGTTCCGTGGTGTCACCGAAGTCCGTGGATGGCCTTGAGCCTGTGCAGGTTCTTGGGCTGCTTCCTGTCCCATGTGGGAGATCCAATGGGAAATGACTGACCTGAAGTACTTAGTCTTCAGGGGCAGTCATATCTCCAATGACCTCCTTGGTAGCTGGGACATGGCCCTGGGTGTCCTTTCTGATGATTCTTCGCGAAGTGTCCATTGCTTCTGCAATGAAGAGCACTTGGGAGGCCTCCGGGGGTCTCACTGGAACCAGAAGCACACACCTCTCTCATCCTGCTCTGCCATGGGATCCTCTCCTGATCTTTAAGGTAAAAGACCAGAGTGACCCCTTTAAGAGGATATCAGGGTACGTTCAGGTCCCATTTGTAAGTTTCTAAAGTTCTGTCCTAACGTCCAGGGTAGTTAAGAATCTAGCATCTATACAGCACCTATTCTTTTCTATATAGGATCTAATGGAATATACTCAGTCATTCCTCAAGCATTCTAAGTTGGAGGATTTCTCTGTGGCCCTAATCTCAAGGAATTATTTACAAAATTAAGAGATTTAACTTAGCAATTTTCATCTATGAACACTTTCCAGGGTGGGATATTGGAATAAGTCCTTACACCATCCAGTTTCCTGCCCGTGGCCTGGCAAAGCAGGCGAGGATGGCCCAAAGCTTTGGGATCCTGCACTTATTATGTTGGAGACAAAAGAAGCTCCTGCCTCCTGGCTTCAGATCAGCACAGCTCTGGCCGTTGCGCCACTTAGGGAGTGAACTAGCACACAGAAGATCTTTGTCTCTCCTTCTCTCTATATACCTGCTTTTCCAATAAAAATAAATAAATTTTAAAAAATAAATAAAATCGGGCCCGGCTCGGTGGTGCAAGTGGTTAAGGTCCTCGCCTTGCACACCCGGGATCCCATACAGGCGCTGGTTCTAATCCCAGCAGCCCCGCTTCCCTTCCAGCTCCCTGCCTGTGGCCCGGGAAAGCAGTCGAGGATGGCCCAAAGCTTTGGGACCCTGCACCTGCGTGGGAGACCCGGAAGAGGCTCCTGGCTTCGGATCCGCATCAGCCGTTGCACTCACTTGGAAGGACGAAAGATCTTCCTCTCTGTCTCTCCTTTCTGTATATCTGCCTTTCCAATAAAAAAAATAATAATAAAAATAAATCTTTAAAAAGTATATATATATATAAAAATCTAGCAATTCAACGGAGTTAGGTCACACTGCCCAGCAACCACCAACTTTATCTAGTGCTAACACAGAATTCGTGCCCACTAAGCAATTTCTCCTTCATGTACAATTTTTTTAAAAAAGTCTCTCCACAGAATTGTACACTGAGGAAAATGCGATTTTTTAGGTCAGCCACGGGTCCAACGTCACACACCCAGCAGGGGTCATACAGTGCTGGTGAACCGTATTAATATATCTTTAGGGGAACCCCCAAAAAGATAGCTAGACCCGGGTTCCAGAAAGTAACTTTTGTTGGGAACAGGAAACTATAGTAAGTGCGCTCTAGACTGTAAAAAGTGTCCCTGGAGGTAAAACTGCAGTTCACACTGTACAGGTGGCGCTGGCTGAGGGCGAGCCCAGAACACCCAGCAGCTCCAGGCCCGGCCTTGGAAAGTTCAGCCCGGGGGAAATAGTCGCCAACGCCTGCAGAACAAGGAGCCCGCCTTCTGGGGGCAGTCCCTCGGGGCGCCAAGATGGGGGGTGGGGGGAGGCCTGCCACGCCCTGCCAGGTGCTAGCTCAGAGAGAAGCTCACTCCTCCAGGACACGGGGCGACCAAGTCTTCCCACCCTCTTCCCAGAGGGCGCCCTTCTAAGCCGTCATCAACTTCTTCCCATTCGTGGGAGAGGCCGGACGTTCCCTCGCGCCCCGGTAACCCGGGACTTCTGTCACTTTGCAGCCCACCCTCCGATTCCAGGCGGCGGCAGAGTTCTAGTTCCTCTGTTCCCCGCCCGCGGCCCAATCACGCCCCTGGCGCTCCCCGAGCACAGCTCCATGGCAACCGCAACATCACCGCTCCACTTAAGTATCGCGAGAAGCAGGATCGCGCCTGCGGCTGAGGAGAGGCGGAACGAGGGCGGGAACGCCGAGCAAAGTGGGAGGAGCCCACGGAGCTTCCGAGGTCCGGGTGGGAGACGGTGTCTCCAGGAGGCGCTCCCGCGTGACTGCGCTTTACATAATCGCGGCCTCGCGCGTCACGGTGGCGTACGCCAGTTCAGACCCAATCAGAGTCGTCCAAAGCCCCGTGTTCCGCCCCTTCCTGCTTGATCGACGCCCACCTGAACCAGTGAACGGGTGCCTGGCGCTGTCTCGCCCGCCCCGGTCCTGCCCGGCCTGCCGGCCCGCTCCCACCCTCCCGCCTGCCGCAACCCCTGCCTGACGCCGCCGCCGCCGCCGTCAGGTTGTGCCTCAGACTGTCAGATAAAGCGGCGGGCCTGGCCGGCGGGGCGGGGAGCACGGCCCAGGCCGGACATGGCGGCTCTCTACGCCTGCACCAAGTGCCACCAGCGCTTCCCCTTCGAGGCGCTGTCTCAGGGGCAGCAGCTGTGCAAGGTGCGCGGGCTGGGGCGGCGGCCGGGAATTGGGGACGCTGGAGGCACGGCCGGGAGCTCCTGGTGATGTGGCGACGCCTGGCGGGGTTCCCCCTCGGGCAGCGTGTGGTAGGCTCCCCTAGATGAGGAGCCACACCCGCTCCGATTGCGGGGCCGGCGGGGCAGTGGCGGGCAGTCCCGGGCCTTGTCCAGGCCCCCCACGGCCGGCGTGTCCGGCTGCTTAGCAACCACCGGGAATTGTTCGCCGCCCTGGTGTGGTCGGGGGAGGGGACCTCGCATCATTCCCTTGCCATACTCTCACCCACTGCGTGGGGACTCCCTTTGGGCTCTGCCTTTCTTGTGGCCGTGGGCTCTCCGATGGTGGGCTGAGAGGACCCGCTCTTGCGCCACCTCAACTCCGGAATAGGGAGCTGCCCGGGACGAGCTTGTCAGGCTCCTGTCCAGTGCTTGGTAACTGGTCTCAGATCTGGAGATGACCAGGCTTTATTCAGAAAAAAAAAAAAAAGGAGGAAAGATAAGCCCCGCAATTGAGTGCAGGAGGGCGACTTTTCAGCCTCCAGTTGGTGACCTTCGCTCTGCGTCCTAACCAGCTTCTAATCATTTTCTATCCCTGAAAGTCCCGCTAATTTATTGTTGTGATTGTTGTTGTTTTACCCTAGTTTGCTTATTGAAGTACATACCGGTGGTTTTAGACAAGTCACACCAAGCTGGCAGAAAAGGGAATTTGAGATATTCCCAGTTAATCCTGAGTTTGTGTCTCTGGTTTGAATATAGCTCCTAATTCTTCCCCTTTTGCCACAGGTGGCTGTGACTTGTTTTTGCCACTTTGATTTACCATGTCTGAGAAAATGCAAATGTGTCTGTGGTCGTCGAGAGGTCTTGGATAAATAACCCTGCATTTAATCCAGCGTTTTGATTTCAGAAATAAACCTGCCCAAAGTCGCAGGATGGTGGACTAACATTCACAGCCTCTTGTTCCCAGTTTGGGGCTTATTTCTCTGTTTGTTTTACAATTTATGACTAATTCCATATACACTCTTGCTTACCTCCCACATCAGCAGCCGGGCAGTGATGCAGATACTACAGAGGAGGAAAAGAAGGCCCAGAAAGTTTGCAGTGACTCACTCAAGCGTAGTGATTGTGCTAGGAATAGTACCTGGGGCTTCTGCTTCCTGCTCAGGGTGTTCTCCGGGCTGGGCGGTGGCTCACAGCTCTCCTCCTGTCATTTCAGGAATGTCGGATTGCCCACCCCGTGGTGAAATGTACCTACTGCAGGACTGAGTACCAGCAAGAGAGGTAGGGTCTTTGTCCACTACCATGATGTACAGTTCCTGTGCAGATCTGAAATCAGTGACAGTCTCCGTGTAGATACTGCAGTGCCCGGTCGAGATGTACGGAATGGCCCATAGCCTATGAGTCTGGGTATTTTCTAGGTGTGATCTGTTGGTGCTTGTAATTTTGAAGTTACTGATTTTTTGGACCCCCCTGGTTGTTTTATGGTGGGGTTCTGGTCTTCTTGACACTAACAAAGCCATCATCCCACAGCCATAGACTGGGGTCGCACTGTCTGGTATGTGTATTGTAGACATTGAAGACTCATTATTGGAAAGTCAGATATACAGAGAGGAGGAGAGACAGAGAGCAAGATCTTCCATCCAATGATTCACTCCCCAAGTGGCCGCAACAGCTGGAGCTGAGCCAGTCTGGAGCCTGGAGCTTCTTCCGGGTTTCCCACACAGGTGCAGGGTCCCAAGGCTTTGGGCTGTCCTTAACTGCTTTCCCAGGCCACAAGCAGGAAGCTGGATGGGAAGCATGGCTGCCCGGGATTAGAATCGGTGCTCATATGGGATCCTGACACGTCCAAGGACTTTAACTGCTACACTACTGCACCGGGCCCAATATGTTTTATTTTGGTCAGTGCTTAACTCTTAGAGAAGTTGGAAATATTAATAAATATTGGGTCATGGCATCTCCTCATGTCTGGAAGTTTCACATACTTTTACTGATGGAGGGGAGTGAGGGAAGCAGGAGGTGTGGGACTGGACTGGATAGAACCTCTGAATTTGTATCCAAGCACACATCCTTCAACCCTCACCTCTAATTTCTCAACTCTTCATTTTTTTTTAAGATTTATTTTTATTACAAAGTCAGATATACACAGAGGAGGAGAGACAGAGAGCAAGATCTTCCATCCAATGATTCACTCCCCAAGTGACCGCAACGGCCAGTGCTGTGCCGATCCAAAGCCAGCCAAGAGCTTCCTCCAGGTCTCCCACGTGGGTGCAGGAACACAAGGCTTTGGGCCGTCCACGACTGCCTTCCCAGGCCACAAGCAGGGAGCTGGATGGGAAGTGGAGCTGCCAGGATTAGAAGCAGCGTCCATATGGGATCCTGGCATGTTCAAGGCGAGGACTTTAGCCACTAGGCCATGCCACCAGGCCCTCAACTCTTGATTTGATTTGGGAATTCTTTCTAGTCCTGCTAGTCCATTTTAGTCCAACATGATACTGCAAGTCTTCTCCATGTCTGTTTTATTTTATTTATGAATCGTTGCAGTTGTCTGAAGTAACTAGTTCTTCATTTTTAACCAAAACCATGTTTTATTTGAGACACTACAATTGGAAGCCGCATTATCATCTAAAACTTTACTGGATAGGTCCTTAGGCTTGAGTTAGCTTGGTGTGCTGATTGTATCCCACCTTGGGCCTTAGCAGTGAGCAAACTCCTGGGACTTAAGGAGCAATCGTTTTCAGATGTTCTAAGAAAACCTGTGTCTCTTTCTCCTTTAACAGTAAAACCAATACAATATGCAAGAAATGCGCTCAAAACGTGCAGTTGTATGGAACGGTAGGTAGGATTTTTCTAAACCTCACAATGAGTATTTGGGTCTGTTAAAATCGTCACAATTGTAGGACTAGTTTTGTTATGATAGTTAATAATACTGTTATCTAACTAAGCTGATAGACTTATGGTTAGGAGTTCATTGGCGCTGAGGCTCATGAGTGTGATTTCCATAGAGAAGCCTCAATGACCACATGGAAAAGGGGGAAAGACGAGTCCTCAGACTGTATTTGGTGACAGTTGACTGCTGAATGGGTTGAGTGACTTTTTTTCTTCACGTTACAGTTCGGGATACTGAGCCCTTCTCCCAAAATGTTTATACATAGATGTGTTTATACCATGGTAACAACAAAGAAGCTGTCCCAGAAACTTGGGAGCACTTAATGATTTGCTTTACACATTTCTGATAGTCTCAGCATACATCCTAATGGGATTTTGTTTCTATTCACTTGCTTGTTTTAAAATCAGTAGTTCTATGTAGAAAATTGCTTTATGTAGTGTTAAGACTTGGTCTTCATTTGATCAATACAAAAGCAAATTTGTGAAGTTGGCAGTGCATTTTTTTGCCGTGATTAATGGATTACATAGTAGGAACTATTGCTCAAAAAAATGAGGTAGTATTTTATGATATACTGACTTGGCCCCCTTTTTTTTCCTCCTTTAGCCCAAACCATGTCAGTATTGCAACATCATCGCTGCGTTTATTGGCAATAAATGCCAACGCTGTACGAATTCAGAGAAGAAGTATGGACCACCATATTCCTGTGAGCAGTGCAAGCAGCAATGTGCATTTGACAGGAAAGATGATAGAAAAAAGGTAAATATCTCTGTATTCTCATTATTCTCATTTTCTTTCAGAAAAATTAAGATGAACCAATTATGGTAAGAACAAGGTGAGAGTTCTCTGTTTCTTTCCTGGTTCTGTTGCAGAAGATTGTTCAAACTTTGTTTCCTTCCTTTGTCAAATGTGGAGCATTGAATTTGAACAGTTCATGAGAATTTGAATTACAGAGAGCTGTGTCCCACCGGAGTGAAGCAGGGGCTGGAAAATGCTGCAGAACTCTGTAAAAGGAGAGACTGACCTACACAGGATGGAGTGGGTTGCTGGTTTTATTATCTGGCTCTTTAAATGTTTGTGTTGATGTTTAAGGATCATAAGAACCTAGGAGGAAGCTGCATGGTGCTGGGTTGGTAGATTAAGGCGCTTTAGAGTTTCATCCTGCATGAAACCTTCCAGCAGGTTCCAGGCGCACTTTGAATCAGATGCGTGCCCTCCCAGACCCTCAAGGCCTGCCCCTGGCTCTCAGCCTCTCTCGTGTGCCTTGTTGTTGCAGCCCTGCTGTGAGCCCGCAGCCTTTTAGCTGTGCTGGGCTCCGACCCACCCTTGTGCCGGTTGGCCTTTGATCTGACATGCTTCTCTGTTGTCTAACTGGTTCTTCATGTTGGTTCTCAGTCAGAAGCCATCTCATCACAGATCATTGGCTAATTTTCAGTCCCCCTGTCATGTCACCCTATTTGATTTCCATTTAGTACCCATTGTGGAAAATTGTTATTTGCTCACAAGTCTGTCCATCCACATGGGCTCTGTGCCCAGCTTGTTCTCTACTATATTTTAGTAGCCTGGCACATAGAAGGTGCTCAATAAATATTTGTAGACTGAAGTATTATAGTTCAGAAGCTGTTCAACGGACTGAGATGCTTTTGAGGGTGCTTAGGCACTCAAGGACAGACCCTGGCTAGCCAAATTCATTCATTTACAACAGAAGGCTGTAACTTTCCCATGGCCGGAAGACTCCTGCTGGCACAGTTAGATACCTCTTCCCTGAGGCAAAGAGAATGAAGACGCAGCATCCATGATCAGGAGGCAACCGTCTTGGCTGACCACAAGGACCTGTCACCCTGCAGGTCCACATCCTGATCCCCTGCTGGGACAGGTGGAGAAAGCTAGGCTGGTTACTTCTGCTCTTAGGCATCAGCTTCCTACTTCCCAAAGGCATTAACAGCAGCTACTTCACAAGGACAGGAAGAGATCTCACTGAGAAAGATCTTGACGTTTCTGCTTTCCTAAAACAGTTCTGTGACCTGCGTCATTGTTAATTGAGGAGTAAATTGATTTATTCATCTAATTACACTGAGATTTTGTAAGTTTCTGCTTTATGAACTTTACTCTTATTTTTATGAATTTTAATCTTGTTCAGAGTTCATTGACTAGGAGAAGGCCAAACTTGAGGATGTAAGAGTGGGCGCTGTGGATTCAGTGCATGAGTGGAAATCCTGTTTCTGTCACTTACTAGCTGTGTGGTTTGGGGTGAGTTAACTGCTCACAGTGCTTCAGTTTCATCACCTATAACAGAAATGACCAGACCTTAGCATTGTTACACTGGTTGTTAACGTGTAAAGCTGTTAGAATAGAGCCTGGAAAGCCCTGCGCAGCGGCCTATCAGCTAAAGTCTTCGCCTTGAACATGCCAGGATCCCATATGGGCACCAGTTCTAATCCCGGCAGCTCCACTTCCCATCCAGCTCCCTGCTTGTGGCCTGGGAAGGCAGTCGTGGACGGCCCAAAGCCTTGGGACCCTGCACCCGCATGGGAGACCCGGAAGAAGCTCCTGGCTTCAGATTGGCACAGCACTGGCCATTGTAGTCACTTGGGGAGTGAGTCATTGGATGGGAGATCTTCCTCTCTGTCTCTCCTCCTCTCTGTATATCTGACTTTGTAATAAAAATAAAATAACTCTCAAAAAAAAAAAAAAAGAATAGAGCCTGGTACACGATAGCCACACAATCAGATTACCTAGGATTATTTGTTTCTAATAGTTTTTTTTATTTTAATTTATTTTCTTTTTTATTGGAGAGGCAGATTTACAGAGAGAAGGAGAGACAGAAAGATCTTCCACTGGTTTACTCCTTAACAGCCCACAATAGCCAAAGCCAAGCTGATCCATAGCCAGGAACCAGGAGCTTCTTCTGGATCTTCCTTACTGGTACAAGTGCATAAGGTTCATCTTCTACTGCTTTCCCAGGTCATAACCAGGGAGCTGGATGGAAAGTAGAGCAGCTGGGATAAGAACCAGCACCCAAGTGGGATCTGGTACTTATAAGGGGAAGATTTACTAATTGAGCCATTGCACCAGGCTGGATAGTTCATTAAAAAAAAAAATTATCTTTATTGGAAAAGCAGATTTTACAGAGCAGGAGAGACAGAAGTCTTTCATCTGCTGGTTCTCTCCAAATGACCACAGCAGCCAGAGCTGATCTGATCTGAAGCCAGGAGCCAGGAACCAAATCTCCCACGTGGCTATGGGTCCCAAGGACTTGGGACATCCTCTGCTGCCCTTCCAGGTCATAAGCAGAGAGCAGGGTTGGATATGGAGCAGCTGGGACTCAAACTCACGACCGTATGGTATTGCCGATTCTGCAGGCAGAGGATTAGCTTATTATGCCACTCTGTCACCCCCTTATGACTTTTGGCTCTACTTCCTGCTAATGCAGGCCCTGGGAGGCAGCCTCAGGGTCAGGCGATTGAGTGTCTGGCACCCATTTGGGAGGTCCTGGCTTTGTTTTTAGACCCTCCCCAGATCTGGTCATTGTGGGCATTTGGGGAATGAAATAGTAGGTCAGAGCTAGTGCACTGCTCCTTTTCTGTCTGCCTTTCAAATAAATAAAAATGAGCAACAAAAAACGAAAGGATTGGGGAGGTGTTGTCCAAAGAATACAGAGTTTCGATTAGCCAGGAATAGAAAGGTTTAGAGATCTATTACAGCATGGTGACTATAGCTCATAACAGTGTATACTGTGTTCTTGAATATTGCTAAGATAGTAGATGTCAAGTGTTCTCAACTAGAAAGAATAAAGTAAGTATATGAGGCAATACGCCTGTTAGCTTGATTCGGTCATTCTATCTTGTATACCTATTTCAAAACTTCAGTTGTACGTGATAAATATATATAATTTTTTGTCAGTTTAAAAAAAGAGAGAGACTGTATTCCATCTTTTGTCTTCTCCCTGTTGAGTTTTCCTTAATGAGCACCATGGAGATATATTTGTGTCTTTTACAATTCTTCTGGGAACATCACTGATCTGTTTGCTAAGCTGATAAAAAACAAAACGAAAAGATGCGTGAAATTAGCAGCTGATATGTAAGGGAACTTTTCCATTCCTGGCACTGTTGAGTGCCTCCCATGTATTGTCACTGAATCCTTGCCACAGTCTCTCACAGCTCTAGGAGACATCCCAGAGTTCCTTGCCCCCACTTGCCCACATGCTTGGTCTGTCCCACGCTCACTCAGCCTCATCTCAGCCTCACCTTGGCCTTCTGGTCTTGCAGGTTGATGGCAAATTGCTGTGCTGGCTGTGTACGCTGTCATACAAACGTGTCCTGCAGAAGACCAAGGAGCAGAGGAAGCACCTGAGCAGCTCTTCCCGGGCCAGCCACCAGGAAAAGGAGCAGTACAGTCGCCTGAGTGGCAGTGGCCATTACAACAGGTAACAGTGAGGTGCTGGAGGCAGGTGTGACGCTGCAGGCAGCCGGGAAAGCACCACCTCGCGTGCATCTTCCCATTGTCTCCGGCTACTAGCCGGCTGGAAGGTTCTTATGCATTGTGTTTTATAATTCACGTATCTTCGAAATCAAAGAGGTTTCCATAAGGGGTCAGGATTTCCTGTCTTCATGTTATGTTTAAAATGTTTCTGGAGCTTACTCTGTCTTACAGGGTTCTTACGCTTGGAGTGCTTAGCTCCTTGGGAGAGTAGACATTTCACTTGCTGAGGAATGCACCTTTATTTATTTTTTTAAATTATTTTAAGATTTTTTTTTATTAAAGATTTTTATTTTTATTACAAAGTCGGTTATACAGAGAGGAGAAGAGACAGAGAGGAAGATCTTCCGTCCAATGATTCACTCCCCAAGTGACTGCAACGGCCGGTGCTGCACTGATCCAAAGCTGGGATCCAGGAGCAAGCGGGTGCAGGGTTCCAAGTCTTTGGGCCGTCCACGACTGCCTTCCCAGGCCACAAGCAGGGAGCTGGATGGGAAGTGGAGCTGCCAGGATTAGAACTGGTGCCCATATGGGATCCAGGCATGTTCAAGGCGAGGACTTTAGCTGCTAGGCCATGCCACTGGGCCCGAGATTTATTTATTTTTATGGGAAAGGCAGATTTACAGGGAGAAGGAGAAACAGAGAAAGGTCCTCCATCCTCTGGTTTATTCCCCAGGTGGCCACAAAGGGTGGAGCTGAGCTGATCTGGAGCCAGGAGCTTCTGAGTCCTCCACATGGGTGCAAGTGTCCAAGGCTTTGGGTCATCCTCTGCTGCTTTCCCAGGCCATAAACAGGGAGCTGGATGGGAAGGGGAGCAACCAGGACATGAACCAGCACTCATAGAGGATGCTGGCACTTGCAGGGGGATGATTAGCCAGTTTAAGTCATTGCATGGGCTTTTATTTTTAATTTCTTTTTATTTGAAAAGCGGAGAGACAGATATCTTTTCTCAACTAGTTCACTCCCCAAACACAGGAGCCTAGAAGTAAATCTGAGTTTCCCGCATGGGTGGCAAGGCCCCATGTACTTGAACCATCATCGTGTGCCTCCCAGGGTATACGTTAGCAGGAAGCTAGGTCAAAAGTGGAATTTCTGGGACTAAAGCCAGGCACTCTGACTTAGGATACGTGCATCCTAGGCACTGTCTTAACTGCTGTAACAAATGCCTGCCCTAGCATGAAGCTTTTTATTTTACATATATATATATATATGTATATATATATATATATTTATATATATATATATTTGAAAGGCACAGCTACAGACAGGAGAGAAAATTTTCCATCTGCTGGTTCGTTTTCTAAATGGCCACTTTTTCCAGGGCTGGGCCAGGCTGAAGCCAGGAGTGTTTTGTAGGTCTTTGATATGGGTGCAGGGATCCAAACACTTTGGTCATCTTCCATTGCTTTCCCAGACATGTTAGCAGGCAACTGTAAATGGGCAATTGGGACTTGAACTCAAGCCCAAAATGGGATGCTGATGCCTTTGATGGTGGCTTCATTTGCCGTGTCACAGTACTGGCCCCATCATGTAGCTTTTTTTTTTTTTTTTTTTTTAAGATTTATTTATTCTTATTGGAAATTCAGATATACAGAGAGGAGGAGAGATAGAGAAGATCTTCCATCTGTTAATTCACTCCTTAAGAGGCCACAATGTCTGGAGCTGAGCCAAACCGGAGCCAGGAGCCAGGAGCTTCTTCCAATTCTCCCAAACAGGCACAGGGTTCCAAGGCTTTGAGCTGTTCTCTACTGTTCTCCCAGGCCACAAGCAGAGAGCTCGAAGGAGAAGTGGGACTGCCAGGACATGTACTGGCGCCCATTTGGAATTCTGGTACATGCAAGGTGAGGACTTTAGCCATTAGGCTACCATGCCAAGGCCCAGCATACAGCTTTTTAAATGCTGGGAGATTGATCAATGTTTGCAATTTGCCCTGGTAGAATCCAGTTAAAATGCCCCCCTTTTTTCCTTGCTTACTTCAGTGGCTGAATCCTTGCTTTGCAATCACTGGAATCCTACATGGACACTTTTTCATGTTCTGGCTGCTCCACTTTGCATCCAGCTCCCTGCTTGTGGCCTGGGAAAGCAGTCAAGGACAGTCCAAAGCCTTGGGACCCTGCACCCATGTGGGGGACCCAAAGGAAGCTCCAGGCTCCTGATTTCATGTAGATTTAGCTCTGGCCATTGCGGCCACTTGTGGAATGGACCAGTGGATGGAAGATATTTCTCTCTGCCTCTCCTTCTCTCTATAAATCTACCTTTCCAATAAAAATAAATCTTAAAGAAGAGAGAGCGAGCATTCTAGCTTTGGATTGAATCCCATCTTTGCCAACTTCTCTGTGGGGATTTTGGGAAAATTTGTTCATTATAACATGAGGGAAGTAATAGTATTATTCCATGAGGTTGTAATAAAGCTAAATTATATGGTATGTGCTTACAGGGTACATGCATCCATTTTAGTGATTATTTTTGTTATTACCATTAAGAGTGTTCCTTCAGCAGACAGGCCGGGGCTCTGCTGGGAAGGCAGAGAGGAATATAGCATTCCCACTGCTTCCTGAAAGTGTGCAGTCTGGGAGGAATGAGCTGCAGTCCAATCTTGGCAGAGTCCTGCAAGAGGCAGGTGGTGGAACATGTTGGGAGGAAGGCCTGAGAGGCTGTGGTGATTAGTTGCCGTGGGACTCAAGGAATGCAGGCTTGGAGGGGAGCTGGTAGGCAGCTGGCCCGCAGGGTGAGCGGGAAACAACAGCTAGGGGTTGGGCAGAGCCTCCCGAGGCTGCAGGAATGGCCTTTTGAGAGTATGGGGTCACACGGAGCCCTGGAAAACAGCCTTCTCCCACTGCTGCGAGCTAGGGAAAGGGGGGCCTGCAGACCTGAGAAGAAGTGGGACTTTGATCCTGGCGTTTAGTGGGAAGCCATTGAAGGAAATATAAATGGGCCTGGAAGCCAAATATGTTTAAAAGAAACAAGGATTTTTACTAGTAGGGAGAATGTGTGGGAGGATGAAGGCACTGCTGTTTGGTAGAATCTAGATAAGAGATGTTAAAAGAAGACTCTGTCCTGAAGATTGAATAGGCAGATTTAGGAAGATCGTTTAGATAACTTTTTTTTCAAGATTTATTTATTTTTATTACAAAGTCAGATATACAGAGAGGAGGAGAGACAGAGAGGAAGATCTTCCTTCCGCTGGTTCCATCCGCTGTTTCATTTCCCAATTGGCTGCAACGGCCAGAGCTGAGCTGATCTGAAACCAGGAGCCAGGAGCTTCTTCCAGGTCTCCCACGTGGGTGCAGGTTCCAAGGCTTTGGGCTGTCCTCGACTGCTTTCCCAGGCCACAAGCAGGGAACGGGATGGGAAGTGGAGCTGCTGGGATTAGAACTGGCACCCATATGGAATCCCATCGCATTCAAGGTGAGGACTTTAGCCACTAGGCCACCACACTGGGCCTCCTATAGTTTAGATAATTTGATGAGCAAATATGTGAGTAGCAACTGACTGAGGTTTCTTTTGTTTTTATTTTCCTAAACAGATAAATCCTTTACTGATAATACAGAAAGGGAATTTTGGTTTCATAAAGCTGAGTTTGAAACCCCAAGAATTTATAGAAACTTAGCTTAGAAGTCAGAAGACAAGTTTGGACATGGACATTTGATATCATATAAGAGTCCTTGGGAGTAGAAATTATCTTATAATGCAGATTTCTCTGGGTCCTCTGCAGGCGAATTCAGGAGAGTCTAGTGTATAGTCAGGGCTTCACATTGAAAACATCCCAGGAGCCGTCATTTCCAACCACTGTTGCAGGGAAGTGTTAAAGCCATGCACTTGGACCATTCAAAAGTGATGTGGGGCTGAGAACAGAGCTCTAGATGCATTCGCAATTTAAGATGTGAGCAGAGAGGTGGGAAGCAGGATAATGGCCAAGAGAGGAGAAAGTTTTAAGAAGGGTAGAGCGTCCGTGGTATCACGTGCTCCAGAGAGATGCAGTAAAGGAATATGAAGAGTCCTCTGGGCTTGGGGACTGGACATGCATCCCTGTGAAAGGGTTACATACCAGATCTTGGGCTTCTGCTTTTGGTTTCAGGACCAATTTTAAGTGAAACTGATTTTTTTTTCTTCTAAGATTTATTTGAAATAGTTAAGAGAGAAGAGGGAGAGACAGAGAGACATGTTGATTCACTCAGATGGCTACCATATCCAGAGCTGGGCCAGACCAAAGCCAAGAGCCTGGAGCTCCATCCGGGTCTCCCATGTGGGTGGCAGAGGCCCAAACATTGGACCATCTTCCAGTGTTTCTCCCAGGCTATAAGTGGGAATAGATTGGAAGTGGAGCAATCAGGACCAGCACCCATAGGGGATGCCAGCGTTTAGGCGGTGGCTTCACAAACGTTAGCCCCCAAAATTGACTTTAGTGCCACTGTAAGACTTAGATACCTGTAGACTCACAGAAGAACTGGGCAAAGAGTTAAATTCTGTGGACCTGGTTTCTAGTCCCTGCTTACTACTAACCAGCTGTATGTCTTTGAGTATGTTAGATAGCCCTAATGAGCTCAGTTTCTTTTTTTTTTTTTTTTTTGTTTCCATATTGTTTCCTTCATGTTTAAAGGAGGGTATTAAGGGAGAAGGCCCACCCAATTTCCCACCCTCCCCAGGTCCCGGATGTAGGGTATGCTCCGAGGTTCTTGCAATGAGCTCAGTTTCTACAGAGCAGAAATAGTAACTTTTCTGTATACCTCATGGAATTGTAAAATGCCTACAAGACAGCGTAAAAGTACTCTTTAAGCTGCAAGGTGATACTTTTTATTGAAGTTTTATACACTCTTTTTGTGGTTATTAAAAAAGCAGGTAATATTAAGGGCAGGAATGCTTTTAATCATAGGGCAACTAGCCACCCATGTTTCTAGAACCAACAAAATCAGCACCTTGGTAGATTTTAATAATGGGCCCTTGCATGGAAGGCCTGCTCTCTTAACTTGATCCATTTGACAGACTTTCGTTGTGATGTGTTATTAATCTTTGTTTTCTAATGTGTGTCTCTCTATTTTTGCCATTAAAAGCCAGAAAACACTTTCTACATCTTCAATTCAAAATGAAATCCCAAAGAAAAAATCCAAGTTTGAGTCAATCACAACTAATGGAGACAGGTGAGCCAGTTGGAATATGTGTGCGCACGCATCTGAAATGCAGTTTCTTGAAACAGGAATACATTGTAGGATGTGCCTTGGAGCTAATCTGTGGCTGTCAGTGAACCTTGTAGGGGTGTTCCATGAGCCACTTGAGAGCTTAGAAAGAAGCAGTAGTTCTTCTGAGTTCATAAATCTCATCTTATCATTATAAGACCTTGTAACTGGACCTAAGTGCTGTGGAATTCTACATCTCACTTAGTGACTCCCCCCATGACTCCTAGAAAGTCAGGAGATGCATTTATGTTTCATTGGAAGTCAATCAGATGAGATTTGTATCCACTGCTTTCCTCTCTGGCTCAGTAATGCTTTGTCTCAGGAGCTGCTCAGTCCTGGTCCTCAGAGGGTCCCCTGGGTTGGAGTCTTGGGCCCAGCCAGTTGCCTAGTCCTCAACGCCTGGACGTGCCGCAGGGAGACCACCTGACACACTGTCCTAAAACCCTTGCAGTCATCTCCATTCTGAAAACTTCTGTTTGTAATCCCCACTGCCGGCCAAGTGCAGGTATGGGGGCAGAGCAGCCTACAGGCTCCCCAGGGCCCAAATTAGTTTATTCAGGGGAATACAAAGCATCTGAGAGATTTATTCTTTCTCATTGCATTTTTCATTAATTTTATTTTGGAGTCTACCTTTTTACAACTAGATTCATTGCTTATGTCTTAAATTTAAGCTTCTGGATATGCTTGATTTCTATTACATTGGGCAAGGGACCATCTGAGGATCATCTTTCTGGTCAACTTTGTTTTTCCTCTGAACAGTTAGTGTAAAGAAAGTAGACCTGTACACTGTTCCTCTATGCCAGGTATGTGACCCTGTAAAAATGGCTTCACAGGTGCCTGAGTTATAATATAGCACGCTAAGCTGCTACTTACAGTGCCAGCATCCCGTATGGGTGCTGGTTCAAGTCCTGGCTGCTCCACATCTGATCGAGCTCCCTGCCAGTGTGCTTGGGAAAGTAGTGGAGGATGGCCTAAGTGTTTGGACCCCTTCTCCCATGTGGGCAACCTGAAAGAAGCTCCTGGCTTCAGACAGGCCCAGTTCCAACCATTTTGGCCAGTTAGAGAGTAAACTAGATGATGAAAGACTTTTCTCTGTGTATCTTTACCTTGCAATTAAATCTTTAAAGACAGGGAAAAAAACAAAAACAAAAGCACAAGCCAATCCCCGCCCCCCCCCAAAAAAACCAAAAAATCCAAACTGCTTCACAGAATGAATTTTTTTGAGTGCTCTGTAAAATGAAATTTATGCCTTTATTATTTAATTTTAAAGATTAAAAAATGTCTTTATTTAATTGAATGAGTTAGGGAAAAAGAGAGGCAGAGGCAGATCTTCATTCACTAGTTCACTCCCCAGATGGCAACAATGATTAGGGCTGGGCCAGATCAAGACCAAGAGCTGCGAGCTTCATCCAGGACTCCCACTTGGGTGGCAGGGATCCAAATACTTGGACCATCTTCCCCTGCTTTTCCCAGATCATTAGAGAGCTGGATCAGAAGTGGAACAGCTGGAACATGAGCTGGCACCCATATGGGATGCCAGCATCACAAGCAGTAGCTATACTTTCTGTGCCACAATGCTGATATATGATTTATGACAGTGTATACTTAAGATTTATTTTTGTATTTGTAAGGCAGAGTAAATGAGGGAGAGGGAGATTTTCGGTTTGCTGACTTCTTCCCCACATGGCTACTCCAAATGGCCTCAGTCAGGCCAAATTCAGATGTTAGGAAACTCCATTCTATTCTCTCCTATGCGGGGCTGGGGCCCGAGTTCTTGGGCTATCTTCCACTTTCCCAGGCACATTGGCAGGGAGCTGGATTGGAAGTGAAGGAGTCCAGATTCAGCGAGCACCTCAGGTGGGGGCTTTGGGGCTAGTGTGATGGCTCAACTGCGTAATCCTCCACCTGCAAGCGCTGACATCCCATATGGACACCAGCTCATATCTTGGCTGCTCTATTTCCCATCTGGCTCTCTGTTTATGGCCTGGGAAAGCAGAGGATGGTCAAGGGCCTTGGGATCCTGTACCCATGTGGGAGACCTAGAAGAAGCTCTTCACTCCTGACTTCAGATCAACTCAGCTCTGGCCATTGAAGCCATTTAGAGAGTGACTCAGGGGATGAAAGATCTTTCTCTCTGTCTTTCCTTCTCTCTGTAAATCTGCCTATGCAGCAAAAATAAATAAATCTAGAAAAGAAAGAAAAACACAGATGGAGGCTTTTCGTGCTGCGCCGCAGTGCCAGCCCGACCTGTGCCCTGTGCCTAGAGAGTCATCATCTGTGTTGGTGCTTGTCTGATGAACCGGTTCTCTAAAGTCAACCTTCTATTAGATTGTTACATTTATTATTATCATATATAGATTATTATTATCATAAACAAAATTTTCAGATGCCACTAGTGTTTTGTTTTTTGTTTTTTGTTTTGTTTTGTTTTCTATTGCCATAGATACATCAAGCTAAAACCTCAAGCTTTCTATTGAGACTTTTTTCTCATATCTGGTCCCTTGCAGCGACTGCTTTCCTCTGATTCTTCACTTACACATGTGCTCTTGCATGATGCCCTCTGAGAAGACTTAGAAAGATCATTTCCCTTTATCATTTCCTTAAAATGACATAATTTCTAAAAGTACCTTTTTAAAAAAAATTCATTTGTTCTTTGAAAGCAGAATGACAGAGAAATAATGATGGAGGTAGAAGCGGGTAGGAGAGAATCTTCCATCTGCTGGTTCATTGCCCAAATGGCTACAATGGACAGGGCTGGGTCAGGCCCAAGCCAGGAACCAGGAGCTTCTCTGGATCTCCCATGTGGATGATAGGAGCCCCAAGTGTTTGGGCCATCTCCTGGTACTTTCCTAGACACATTAGCAAGAGCTGGATAAAAAATGGAGCAACTGAGAAATGAAGTGGCACCCATAAGGGATGCCAGCATTGCAAGTAATGGCTTTGACCAGCAAAGCACAATGGCCCGAAAGTAATTTACTCTTAAGATTTGAAAATTTTTCTGCTATCACAAAAATTATTCTCATATATTTATGTGTTCCATTTGAATGTTGCACATTGCTAATCTTAACATTCTATTATTTGCATTTCTTTCAAAATTATTCATAGAACATTTTGCTCTTTTGTACATTTTTTAGTTCCTTTTGAAAAAGATTCTGATAATGTCTTGTTTTCTTTTGACAGATTTTCAATGTTATACAAACTAAAATCCTTTTTACTATGCGTGGGTTTCAAATTAATTCTTGTACCAAGTCTAATCAGTATTATTTCTGAAATACCTATTGCTGGAGTTTCTTCACAGTTTTTTTTTTTTTTTTTTTTTTAAGATTTAGTTGCAAAATTACAGAGAAATCTTCCATCTGCTGGTTCATTTGCCCGATAGCCACAGTGGCCAGAGCTGGGCCAGGCTGAAGCCTGGAGCCTCCTCTGAGTCTCCCACATAGGCCAACAGGAACCCAAGCACTTGGACCATCCTCCGTTGCTCTTCCCAGGCCATTAGCAGGAAGCAGGATTGGAAGTAGAGCAGACATGAACCAGCACACCATTTGGGATGCCGGTGACACAGGCCCTGCTGTACCTCAACGCTGGCCCCCTGTCTTACAGTTTTTAGTTAATCTACTTTGCTCTCCTCACTGTAAAAAGATTCAAATCTTTTTAAAATTTATGTTCTTATTCTTTACTTTTTATTCTCCATGTCTTACACAGTTGCTCCCAACAGTTTTCTTTCCCTTGTCCTTTCTGAACCACATTCTTCTCTCTTGTTTAAGACATACTTGAGGTGCTGTACTGTGCTGTAGAAGGTCAAACTGCTGCTTGTAATGCCACTGTCCGTTATGGATTCTGGTTCATATATAACTGCCTCCAGCCTTGGCCTGCCAGGCTCTGACCATTGCAGTCATTAAAGGAGTGAATCAGCATATGAGTGATCTCTCTCTGTAACTCCGAGTTTTGAATAAATTAAGCTTTTTAACTTTTAAAAATATTTATTTATTTTTATTTGAAAGGTGAAGTTACAGAGAAAGAGAAGGATATCTTTCATCTGCTGGTTCACTCCCCAAATGACCACAATGGCCAGAGCTGAACTGATCCAAAGCCAGCAGCTTTATCCAGGTCTCCCATGTAGGTGCAGGAGCCCAAGCACCTGGACCATCCTCCACTGCCTTCCTAGGTGTTTAGTAGGAAGCTAGATCAGAAATAGAGCAGCTAGGTCTTGAATTGGTATCTAACTGGGATGCCAGAACTGCAGGTGGAGGCTTATTCTACTGTGCTACAATCCAGTCCCTGGTAAGTAAGTTTAAAGGAAGAAAAAAAAAGCATATTTGATTGTTTTCCCACCTCTTATTCTTTGCCTGTTAATCTTTTATATCTTGCAGGCTGTGTTTTCTTAGCTTTCTCTAATGGTTTAGTACATATAAGCCTTCCTCTCACTATTTCCTGATTCTTTTTGTTAATTTTTTTTTTAAAAAGATTTACTTATTTCCATTGGAAAGGCAGATCCACAGAGAGGAGAGACAGAAAGATTCCCTGTCTGCTGGTTCAGTCCCCAAGTGGCCGCAGTGGCCGGAGCCAAGTTGATCTGAAGCCAGTAGATTCTTCTGAATCTCACATGTGGGTGCAGGGTCCCAAGGCTTTGGAACCATCCTTTGCTGCTTTCCTTGGTCACAATCTGGGAACTGGAAGGAAAGTGGAGCAGCCAGGATAAGAACCAGTGCTTATTTGGGATCCCAGTAAGTACAAGGCAAGGATTTAACTCCTAAGCCACTGTGTTGGACCTGAACAAACACTTTTAATTTGAGGAAAATATGAATGAATTTCTAGCTTTCTTCTCTTAGGGAAAATTTATTTCCATTGGAAAGGCAGATCTACAGAGAGAAGGAGATGCAGAAAGATCCTCTGCCCATTGATTCATCCCCAAGTGGCTGAAATGGCCGGAGTTGAGCTGATCCGAAGCCAGGAGCTTCTGTCAGGTTTCCCACATGGGTGCAGAGTCCCAAGGCTCTGGACCATCCTTGACTGCTTTCCCAGGCCACAAGCAGAGAGCTGGATGAGAAGTGGAGCTGCCGGGATTTGAACTTGTACCCATATGGGATCCTGGTGCGTGCAAAGCGAGGATTTAGTCACTAAGCCACTGTGCCAGGTCCAAACACACATTTTTTAATTAAAGAAAACCTGAGTGAATTTGTAGCTTTCCTATCAGGGAAATGCAGCACTGACTGTTAGTGCTGTCTGTCTGTCATCCTGTAGGCGTAAAAAAGGCACTTTGACAGTGGGTGACCCAGCAGGTACACCTTGTGGTTTATAATTTCTAAAGGACATCCTGCTGCTTGTGGCTTGATTTAATTTTGCTTTTGAAATGTGCCTAAATAGTACTTAATTTGGCCCACCCAGCATTTTCTAAGAAGGCAGTTTTGGTTCAACCCAAGGAAAGCTTATAGGAAGTTGCCTGGAGTGGTAGTGAGTTCCCTGTCACTGGAAGTATTTGGAAAGAACCTGGCTCTTCTACCATACTAATCATTTTTTTTTTCTCATTGCAAGCTGTCGATACTGACCCAGAAGTTAGAAAGATGGAGAGGTCAGGCCCTAACCAAAGCTGGACATGACTGGTTTTGCCAACAGTGCGTTGAATGGTCAGAACAGGTGGGAGTTACCAAAGCACTGTTTGTAGGCTTAGTAATGGGATTTTTGGTTTTGTTTTGTTTTTTAGTTCTGAGTTTCTTTCTTTCTTTCTTTCTTTCTTTCTTTCTTTCTTTCTTTCTTTCTTTCTTTCTTTCTTTCTTTCTTTTAAGATTTATTTATTTTTATTGGAAAGGCAGATATACAGAGAGAAGGAGAGACAGAGAGCAAGATCCTCCATCTGATGATTCACCCCCCAAGTGACCGCAACGGCTGGTGCTGCGCCAATCTGAAGCCAGGAGCCAGGAACTTCCTCCAGGTCTCCCACACGGGTGGGCTGTCCTCGACTGCTTTCCCAGGCCACAAGCAGGGAGCTGGATGGGAAGTGGAGCTGCCGGGATTAGAACCAGTGCCCATATGGGATCCTAGTGCACTCAAGGCGAAGACTTTAGCTGATAGGCCACTGCACTGGGCCCCAGTTCTGAGTTTCAGTAGACTCCATTAGGTTGAGGGAAAAACCGGCCTTTGGTGGGTTTTGAAGCAGGAGTAAGACATCAGATCTGAAATGTTAAGGTCCTTCCAACACTCTGCTGTGTACCACCTTGTACTGTTTTGCATTTTTTTTTTTTTTTGCTGGCCCATTGTTCTGCGCATTTGTCAGTAGTGAGAGCATTGATTCATTCTTCCTTTGACATTTATCTCACATGCTTCATGTAGCCTGGGGTGAAGCAGGAAGCGTTCTACCAGTGGACTGTATCTTCCACTTTTAACATAGAAGCATGTGACTTGGTAACTGAGGAACTGTGTCTAGTAATTAGACCTGCTGTTCAGAATCCTTCCCAAGTGAGAACTGCTGGTTATTAGATGTGGTATGAGATACAGGAATGAACCTACCAAGAAGGGAAGCCAAGTAGTAGCTGCATTGACGGAGGGAGCTGGAGCTGTGTTCCAGTGTCCGCTTAGGAGAAAGGGTGAGACTGATGTTTTACTTTGAAGACTGTTCTGGGGAAGGAAGGAACTTCCTCTGGGAGGTCTGTGCAGAAGGGTATGACCCAGCCTTCTTGGTGGTGACCCTTTTCATTTTGGGGCTCCCAGGCTCCTCTGAATAGCTGGTAATGGCTAAGGATTTGTGTTCTGAAAACTACCTGTGGTGTGTATAGATAGGGTTGTGAATATGACCTTGGGAGTCCCTAGATCTCCTGATACTGGCCCTGGTCCAGAGACTATTGGACACAGAAGCCAGCTGGCATGTGGACAAAATGGAGCACTCTGCTTGTTGCTCCTGGGAGGAAAACCTGTTGAAGACCCGAGGGCAGGCAGTGTGGCTCTGGAGTCTGCCGTTTCCTTGTTCCTTTTCTTAACTGTCACAGCATTCTGGTGTTGGAACTGACAGTCACCAGGCCACTTATCACATAGGGGAAGCTGACTTCCTTCCATTACCTTCATCATTCTCAGAAAGGACCTACCCCCAAGACCACAGTGTGGCAGCTTCCCTGCAGGTGCACCATGTCACAGTGCTCTGGGGCCCCGAGTAGAGCTCTGTGGGATGTGCTCCATGGGGAGCAAGTAGAGAGGTGCATGGGCTTGGGACTGAGAAGCCATCCTGACTCCAGGAGCTTTCATGAACCTGAAACCATACCCTTGCTCTTAGGGTACGACATTCAGTCCTGAATAGGAGGGAAGAAGACAATGCAGGAAGTTGCTCGGTTGTGGCTTTGGTTGGTGTGGTTATGAGCACCTCACCTGGTGTACAGAGCAGTGTGCTTGATGCTGGTCATTCTCACTGAATGAGCTCCTCTGACCGAGGAGCAGGGCTAGCTTAGGATGTGCCTAGAGGTGGAGAGAAGTTTATTTGACCAAACTGATTTTTTTTTCTTTTTCCATTCATGTTTCTGCTCAGCTTTTCTCCAGACCTGGCTTTGGATTCCCCAGGCACTGACCACTTTGTCATCATTGCCCAGCTGAAGGAAGAGGTGGCTACTCTGAAGAAGATGTTGCATCAGAAGGATCAAATGATTTTAGAGAAAGAAAAGAAGGTATGGTTTAGTTTATGCCTCTTAGACCAGGGTGATGCAAGAGTTAGACTTGTTGTATGAGTCAGTTTTTTGTTACTACAATGAAATGCCAGACAAGCCATTTATGAAGGAAAGAAAGGTTTGTTTAGCTCGATTTTCAAGGTACCAGTTCAAAATTGGGTAACCCCATTGTCTGTTGACAGTGATGCTTTAGCAGAGCAAGAAGCTGGGCCCCACTGGCTTTTATAAGCACACTTCAGGTGAGAACTGTTTTCTGAGAGAACACACCCCCAGTAAGCTAAGAACCTTCCTCTAGACTCGCCTCCTAAATACTGTCATTGGATAAGTTTATGCCCTCTTAGTAACTTTCAGCTTATGGCTCAACTATATGAGCTTTGGAGGCAAGCCATCTTATGTCATGGAAGTGGTACAGGACATGATGTTTGTGGTATATTCACCATTGATGCTTTGAGAAAGATTCCATAGTGAAAGATCCCATGTCCTGAAAAGAGGCTAGCTGTACCATGTGGGTACAGATGTCCAAGGACCTGGGTCACCCCCCCCACCCCCCCACTGCTTTCTCGACTCCATTATCATGGAGTTTGATTGTAAATGGAGCGGCTGGTACTCAAAACTGATGCCCATATTGGATGCTGTTGGAGGCTTAACTGTCCAAGATGCCAGCCCCTGTCTTATATTTCTCATATCTTCAGAATAGGAACAGTTGGGCCCAGCATGGTAGCCTAGAGGCTACCTTACATTTGCCGGGATCCCATATGGCGCTGGTGCAAGTTCCCCAAGGCTTTGGGTCATTCTCTACCACCTTTCCAGGCCACAAGCAGGGAGCTGGATGGGAAGTGGGGCCACCTGGACCAGAACCAGCACCCACATGAGATCCCAGTGTGTGCAAGGTGAGGACCCCAGCCACTAGGCTACCATGCTGGGTCCATAACTCTGTTTTTTCCTGAGAATACATGTTGTCTTATGGCAAGTTCTTTATACTATGATTCATTCTGAATGGCTGATAAAGACATTCACAGTGTTAAAATTTTATTTTAAAAGTTTTATTTCTTTTACTTGAAAGTAAGAATAAAGAGAGGGAGAGACAGAAAAATCTGTCTGCTACAGCACTCCCAAAATGATTACAGTGATCAAAGCTGGGCCAGTCCAAAGCTGGGAGCCAGTAGCTTCTTCTGGGTCTCCCATGTGGGTTCAGGGGCCCAGTTGGACTATCTGCTGCCTTCCCAGGTCTTTAGCAGAAAGCCAAATGGGAAGTGGAACAGCCAGGACTTGAATCAGTGTGTTAATTCCATGCACCAGCTGCTGTGTCAAATTCTTTAGATGTTTGCTTTATTTGTTTGTTTGTTTGTTTGTTTGAAGATTTACTTAGACTACAATGAAAGGGATGGAGGGCCCGGCACAGTAACCTAGCAGGTAAAGTCCTTGCCTTGCACACACCAGTATCCCATACAGAAGTTGGTTCTAATCCCAGCGGCCCCACTTTCCAATCACTTCCCTTCTCGTGGTCTGGGAAAGCAGCCGAGAACTGCCCAAAGCCTTGGGACCCTGCACCCGCGAGGGAGACCCAGAAGAAGCTCCTGGCTTTGGATCGGCTCAGCGCTAGCTGTTGCAGCCGCTTGGGGAGTAAACCAGCAGACGGAAGATCTTCCTTTCTGTCTCTCCTCCTCTCTGTATATCTGATTTTCTGATAAAAATAAAATAAGTCTTTAAAAAAAATAAAGGATGGAAAGCCAGAGATCTTCGACCTGCTGGGTCACTTTTCAGATGGCCATAACAGCCAGGGCCAGGCCAAGTTGAAGCCAGGAGCCAAGTTCTCCTGGTCCCCCACATGGGTGCAGGTCTCAAGCATGTGGGCCATCTTCTGCTGCTTTTCCCAGGCTGTTATCAGAGAGCTGGATCAAAAGGGGAGCAGTTAGTACATAAACTGGCATCTATGTGGGATGCAGGTGTTGCAGGTGGCAGCTCTATCCATTATGTCTCAAAGCCACCCCTACCTTTCTCCCAACCCCAGCAACCTGAGTGTTTGGGTTTTTTTTAAGATTTATTTTTTATTTTTTATCAGAAAGTCAGATATACAGAGAGGAGGAGAGACAGAGAGGAAGATCTTCCATCCAGTGATTCACTCCCCAAGCAACCGCAATGGTCAGAGTTGAGCCGATCTGAAGTCAGGAGCCAGGAGTTCCTCTGGGTCTCCCAAGCAGGTGCAGGGTCCCAAGGCTTTGGGCTGTCCTCGACCACCTTCCCAGGGCACAAGCAGGGAGCTGGATGGGAAGTGGGGCTACCTAGACCAGAACCAGTGCCCACATGGGATCCCAGTGTGTGCAAGGCAAGGAGCCCAGCAGTAGACTACCAGGCTGGGTCCAACCTGGGTCTTTTTGATTTGACTATTCTTTGTACTGTGCTGTGCTTTCCTCCTGCCTGAAAGTAGAGAGTCATGGAAGGGAGCAGTCACTGTCAGTTGAGGGTAGACCCAGTCATATTCCCGTTATGAGTGACACAGAAAAGAATTTTCACCAAATAAAGATAAAATGAATACTTGCTTCTACTGCTTTAGAGATTTAGGGCTTAAAAAAAAAAAGCATAAACAAATAGTTGAGTGTTTCTCAGGCCCTTGGAGCTCAAAGTCACTGCTTGGCTTAGAACACAAGCTCTTCCTCATCTGTTTTGCTATCTTCAGCCTCAACTGCTACTCTCTCCACCTTCATCAGGCGCTAGAATGACCCCTCAGTTATTGGTACTCCTCTCTCTGTGTGCCCATGTCCGCTGTGCTTGGATGTCCTGCTTCTCTCCTGATGTCCTTCAAGACTCGACTTGCACATCATCTCGGGGATAGAGGTGTCCCTTCTGCTCCTTGAATAGTGAAGTCAACACAAGGGGATCTTGGGCTTGAAATCTCATTCTGTCACTTGCTGACTCAATGATCTTGGCCATGGGACCTAACTTCTAAGCCGCAGCTTTCCCATCTATAAAAAGGGAGCACCAGTCCCGTCAGCTTACCCTACTGAATATACTCATCAGTCCTTCTGGAATGTGGTAAAAGTTCATGTTGGGCAGCCTCTGTTACTTTCATGGCTTCTCTCAGATCATCACTTTATGGTCATTGTTTTATTTGGAGGTGATTATTTGGAGATGTTGGAATGTAGTAAATACATGAAATCTTTAAAAAAAAAACATTGGATTTTACTAGTGGCATGTATCAAAAATGTTAGTTTGACTGAACTTGAACTGTGGACACGCAATAAGGTAGAGGAATCCACCATGGGGGGGGGGGAGAATTGGGGGGGAAAGGGGGAAATTCCAGTAAAAAAAAAGCTGTATCACATAATGCAACGTAATAAATTGGAAAAAAAAAATGTTAGTTTGTGGGATCATTTAGCTCTCTGATAGATACTCATTTAGGATACTCATTAGGATAGAAGTCATTTAGGACGTATCTTTATTTGAAAGTCATCAAGACAAAGAAAGCTTTTCTATACAGGGATTTGTTCTTCAAATGCTTGTAACAGCCCATAGTGGGCCAAGCTAGAGTCAAGAACTTGGTCAGAGTCTCCCACGTGGGTTGCAGGGACCCAAGTCTTTGAACCATTGTCTGCTGCCTCCCTAGGTCGTGTATTAGCAGGAAGCTGGATCAGAAGTGGAGTAACTAAGGTTGGAACCAGGCACTAATATGAGATGCAGGTGTCTCTAGCAATGGTTTAACAGCTGGACCACTCACCCACCACTGGAATGCATTTTGTTGCACAAAAGTTTGTTCTGATCACTCTGTCTTTTTTCTTCAGATTACAGAGTTAAAGGCTGATTTTCAGTACCAGGAATCTCAGATGAGAGCTAAAATGAACCAGATGGAGAAAACCCACAAAGAAGTTACAGAACAATTGCAGGTGACCTGCTTCTATTATATAATGACTGCGGTTTGCTTAGCTGCTTGCGGGGGTGGGGGATGTTTGTTTAAGATTTATTGAGAGGCTGGCATTGTGGTATACTAGATTAGGCTTTAATCTGCAGTGCCACTGTCTCTTATGGGTGTCTGTTTGAATTCCACCTGCTTCACCTCCAATCCAGCTTCCCTGAGAATGCACCTGGGAAAGCGGAAGAGGCTGGCCCAAATGCTTGGGCTCCTCCACCTAAGTGAGAGACCTGGAGGAAGCTCCTGACTCCTAGCTTCAGCCTGGCCCAGCCCCAGCCATTGCAGCCATTTGGTAGTGAACCCGTGAATGGAAGATTTCTCTCTCCCTCCCCCTTTCCTCCTTTCTCTGTAACTCTGCCTTTCAAATAAATCAAAATAAATAAAAATTTATAGAGTGGGTGAGATCTTGCATCTGCTGGTTCACTCTCTAGATGCCTACATACAACAGCCAGGAGCCGGGAACTCCATCGAGTGTCCTGTGTGGTTGGCGGAAACCCAAATGCTGCTGGGCCATCTCAGGGCATGCATTAGTGTGGAGCAAGATCAGAAGAAGGAGGTAGCCAGGATTTGATCCCAGGCACTCCAGTACAGGATACAGACATCCAAAGGGTTGGCTTAACCCTTGCCACCTCAGCATTCACTCCTATACAATTGTTTTTTTTTTTTTTAAGTGCCTCTTAGATTTCTTTTATTCTCAAAATATCGGCAAGTTACAATTTCTTTTTAGATGTCACTTGCTGTTCTTCTCTTGTATGCTGATCTTTTCTCCTTAAAAACAAAGGAAATAACAAATGTGTTTTTTGGTTTTTGAATAAGCCAGATGTGATTCCAGGTGTATTCATTATAAATTCTGTGTGTCATGCCCACGAAGGTACTTCCTGGTTTGTTTTAAATGTGTGAAGTCTCCTTTTGTAACAGTGAATCCCAAGACTAAGGGAGGCCAGTTGACCTCCAGCAGAGTTTTTCCTGAACCAAATACCAAATCCTGGAGTTTGTTGTTTTTCATTTCTGGAATTGGTCCCCTCTCCCTGATTCCCTACATTGCATCTGCCTCTATATTTACCTACTTTTCGAACTTCTCCTGTTCTGCTAAAGGATTTGCTTGTGTTGATTTTGTTTTTTTTTTTTTTTTAGGCCAAAAACCGAGAGCTCCTGAAGCAAGCAGCTGCCTTGTCCAAGAGTAAGAAATCCGAGAAGTCTGGAGCCATCACGTCACCGTGAAAGACCGCAAGGGGACACTCCAGCGGCAGCAAATGGGAGTCAGTCGTCATGGGTTGGAGTTGGAGACCTGGCTGTTCTCTGGGAATTGCAAGCTTTCTTAAGAAATCTCTATTTTATTACAGTTATCCTTCTTTGTGTGAATGCCATGGGCTGAATGGAAACACCTGTGTTGTGACTGCATGGGTGAGTGCTTGGGCTTTGAAACTCTAACTCTCTCTCTCTCTCTCTCTCTCTCTCTCTCTCTCTCTCTGCCCCATCCCCTGGTCCCTCCCACCTGCTTCTCTCTCTTCCAGTTTCTCTACCCTGTACCTCTCCTCTGTTCTCTATCAATACTTCTCTCTGTTCTGTGGTGGTCACTGCTCAGTGTTATGTGCAGAATGATTGTTCTGTCCATCACTGCATCCTGCCATTCCCGTGAGCAATTAGTTTGGTGTTAATTATGTATCACTGCCACCTTCAGACTTCGTACAATGGAAGAGGCTTTCTCTCAAAAAAAAAAAAAAAAAAGAAAGAAAAAGTGCTTCAGGGTATATATTCTTGGGTTTTTTTCCAGGTATATTATGTATGAACTTTGTACTATGTATAGCCAGAGTTTTATTTATTTTTTAAAACAAACTTTTTCTTGAAAAACAAAGGAGTAATGGTATAGCCTCGTTGGTTCTTCTTGTAAAAGCACCATCTCTTGGAAACACACACACACAACAGTCCTGTTCTCAAGCTTTTAGTAAGAAGCAGATCTTCTGTTGTCCCCTTGGAGTCTCTGAAAACTGCTAAGGTGAAACAACTCAACGCAGGCGTGTGGAGCTAAGTGCCTTGGGGAGGGTTTCTCGGGAGAGACCTGAGGGAGGGAGCCGAGGTGGGAGAGTCTGTCCTTTGGAGGAAGGGCAGAGCAGAGCTCGTCCAGGTTGTACTGGACACGTCCCTCCCCACCTCTTTCCTGCTTGTTTCGTATGATTGAGTTTAAATTCTCACACTGCCACTTGTTTTTAAGAGTACTTTTACTTCTTGTATCAATTACATATTAGGTTGTTGGGCAGGCTTTTTGTTTTTGTTTGTTTGTTTTTTTACACATGAATAAATCCAACATCAGCTAACATGTGAACTGTAAGAGCATTTCTGCTCAGGAAATGGACTCTGCATCTGCTTGGAAGAAATGCTGTCGCCGTACCTTATCCCCACTTCTGCTCACCCAGCCCAGCCCATACACTCCTTGCTTTCAATGGAAAAAAGAGGGAAAATGGACTCAGCCAGAGGAGTGTGTGCCTGGTCTTCCCCTTAGCGTCCAGGAAGGGGGATGGGTCTGCACTTGGCAGCTGCTCCCTCAGGTCCTCTGCGAGTTAAGGATGGGCTGGCGTGTGCCACGCAGCAGCCAGGCGAGCTACGCTGCAGTCATCTATTGGAGTACCTGAGAGGAAGATGCTGTTGAGACAGCAGGGACAGAAGTACCCTGACACTGGGGCAGTGGCCCTAACTTGCTGGAAGGATCCTAAAGGCAAATGTGCTCTGTGACTTGTGAGCCTCACTCAGCGTTGGACAGAGATGTGGACACAGGTGGCTTCCTTCCAGTGGGAGAACAGTGGACCATGTTGCTTCTCTAGCACCTGGGGGGTGGGGTAGGGTGGGAGGGAGGGGATGCACTTTTACCTTAGGAACAAAGGACAGGTCAGCACTCAATACTTTTGTAACTTTTTGAATGAGACACTTTTAGTTAAAGATCAACTGTCAGATAATATTTTTCAGGTATTTGCATTGACTATGGGGAGAAGATTTGCAAAAATGAGTCATGGTTTTTTGTTTCAATTTTAAAGACTGAAAAACTGTTATGTGATGTATAAACAAGGTAACACGTGTTAAGTTTTATACAGATTCTTTTTCTTAAAAGTCTTGGCATTTAATAAAAAGCAAATCCACACATTTTCTAACTTTCCGTAAATTCCTAAAAGGGAAAAAAGAAACCTCAGTCTTGAAATTTTGATTTTTAAAAATCATGACACTGTTTACCATGAGATTGAGTAGCTAACTTTTTGGTAACACCTTTTGTTTCTTTGTATGTTTGTAATAATGGACATTTTAAAACAGGAATGTTTTGGTTTGTACAGCCTTTGACAAATGCGTGTTAATAAAAATTCATATTGACTCAAGTATCAAGGTGGCTTTTGTTTTCATCTCTCTCTTGCTGGTTCATCAATAGACATTTTCCATTCTCTCCAGCCTAGGAAATAGTTTCTCTTGCTTGTAGAATAAAAAAGTAAACATCTAACTGCTGATAGTTTCACATCTGTCAAAAAAATAACTCCTCTCTGTCCCTTCTATCATTTTTTCCATTAAATATTTTTAATTTTTTATTTTTACACTTGATATTAGCCAAAACGCCGAGAAGCGATAATTTTTTATTTTTAAAGATTTATTTCATTTTTATTGGAAAGTCAGAGAGGAAGAGAGAGAGAGGAAGATCTTCCTTCAATGGTTCATTTCCCAAGTGACTGCAACATCCGGTGCTGCTCCAATCCAAAGCCAGGAGCCAGGAACCTCTTCCAGGTCTCCCACACAGGGTCCTAAGGCTTTAGGCCGTCCTCGATTGTTTTCCCAGGCCACAAGCAAGGAGCTGGATGGGAAGTGGGATTAGAACCAGCGACCATATAGGATCCCAGCACATACAAGACAAGGACTTTAGCCACTAGGCCACCACGTCGGTCCCTAAATTTTTATTTTTAATATAGTTTACATATTTGAGAGGGATGCATGCCAGTGTGAGCCTCTGATTAGGTTGGAAAAATAAGAGGGAGATGGGTGGGACACATTTCAGTCTTTTTTTTTTTCCTCTTCTGTCCAGAGGAGAGGTGGGGAAGAGGGCAGCTCCTTGCCATCAAACTACATTAGCACCTGGGGATGGGGAGCAGTCCTTTGATGACACACTAGAGAACCTGGTGAAGGGAAGTGTATTCTGAAGGAAAATTAGATATACACGGAGAAGGAGAGACGGATCTTGAATTCATTGCTTCACTCCCCAAGTGGCCGCAATGGCTGGAGCTCAGCTGATCCAAAGGCAGGAGCTTCTTCTGGGTCTCCCACACAGGTGCCAGCCAAACGCCCAAGGCTTTGGGCTGTCCTCTACCGTCTTCCCAGGGCAAAGCAGGGAGCTGGATGGAAAGTACAACAGCTGGGATATGAATGGATGCTCATATTGAAACCTAGCACATGCAAGGCGAAGGATTTTAGCCATTAGGCTACCATGCTGGCCTGGAGTGATTTTGATAGTTCTGAGGTGTCCATTTCATTGCTCTAGGGTTGAGAAAAATCTTTCCAAGGTCAGTTGGTTGGGAAGGTCTGCTCTAGTACATCCACAGACTCAGAAACATGCTGCAAAGCTTGGCCAGAATTGTCCAGCCTGTTTTGCTTTCCATCCTCTGACGAAGCAAGTGGACATCCTGAGCTGGCCATCAGGTCCCTCATGTGCATCTGGACATGCTGTCCACTGTCAGCCACTGTGGAGGCTCAGCCTGGATACGTGCACTCCAAGGTTGGACCATACCTTCTATTTATCCGGTTTAAATGTTTGCTTTATGATAGACTTGGCATTTGCAGGTACAGCAATGACAAAAGCCACCAAGTGACTCCTCATGGACACCACAGCATAGCACCATCGCTCCTGGGCTTTGACAGTAATGATTATTATTCCAAGAAGAACAAAGGCTGTCTTCAAAAGGAGTGAGTGAAAGCTTTTGGAGGGGCTGGCTCAGAAGGAGGAGAGGAATATTTCTGAAACCACGATGTGCCTACTAGTAAGTTTTAACACTGACAACAGATGTCTCTCAAGCACTGTCAGTGTCACATCTTGGTCATTTTCGTCTGTAAACCCAAAGCCAGTGTGCTTTCTCTAAATCAATGGGAATTTAGTCTTGTAGACTATTTCTTCCCACCTTTTATTGTGTACATTATTTTGATTTATCCACTCAGCCTTGAAAACCACTATAGGGGAAGCGTATAAGCAGGAAAAGGTGTCATCCAGCCCCCCTCAGGAAGGTCTTAAAACACTCTAGCCCTCTAAGTCACTCAGAAGCCTTAGGCTCTATTCCTTGCAGTGTAGGACCACATGTTACCTGCAGTCCAGCTGTCCTCACCAGATGGCCAGCTGAAGGGCCAGGCAGAAGAGCCATTCTCAGGAAGGTCAAAACTCAAGCGTTCGGGCCTGGCACAATAGCGTAGCAGTTAAAGTCCTTGCCTTGAATGCGCCAGGATCCCATACGGGCACCAGTTCTAATTCTGGCGGTCCCCCTTCCTATCCAACCCCCTGCATGTGGACTGGGAAAGCAGTCGAGGACGGCCCAAAGCTTTGGGACTCTGCAACCACAGCAGACGCCTGGAAGAGGATCTGGGCTCCTGGCTTCGGATCAGCTCAGCCCTGGCCATTGCTGCCATTTGGGAAGTGAACTAGCAAATGGGATCTCTTTCTCCCTGTTTCTCTTTCTCTTTGTAAACCTATCTTTCCAATAAAAATGAAATAAATCTTAAAAAAAAACCTCAAGCATTCCTGGACACTGGCTGACTACTGCTACATGACATTACTTCCATAGCCTCATGCCTTAAAACAACCATTCTAACCTATATCCTGTTGATCAAGAACTTGGCAGGGCATTTGGGTGACGTGTGTTTCCCTAACACCTGGATCCTCACAGCTGGGAAAATTCAAAATCTGAGGGACACTGACTGAGGCTGGGTTCATCTAAGTGGCTCTGTACTATATCTAGTACACACACAGCTGGCATCACTAGAAATCTCATAGTGCTGACCAGAGCGCCTACGTGATCTCTCCAGGTGGCTTTTGGCCTCAAAGCTCCCTCATTGGTACCTGATGATTCCAAGCACAGCTGTTAAAAGCGGAAGTTACACTAGAAATTCTGACATGTCCTCATGATCACATAACCTCACCTCAGAAGACCAGACTCAAGAAGATCCCCTTTCTTGATAGACAAAGCAGAGCCTAGCATGGTGGCCTAGCTGCTGAAGTCCTCATCTTAAATGCACTGGGATCCCATATGGGTACCAGTTCTAATCCTGGCAGTCCGCTTACCATCCAGTTCCTGCTTGTGGCCTGGGAGGGCAATCAAGGACAGCCCAAAGCTTTGGGACCCTGCACCCATGAGGGAGACTTGGAACAGGCTACAGGCTCCTGGCATTGAATCACATCAGCTCAATCAGAGTGAATCATTGGATAGAAAATCTTCTCTGTATCTCCTCCTCTCTGTGCAGCTAAACTTAAAAAAAAAAAAAGACAAAAACAGAAGAGTATGTGGGGTAGGGGTCCATTGTAGTGGCCATTTTATTAAACACAGATTTGCCCCTGTTCTTGGTTTTAGTAAATTCCCATGATAATATATTTTTAAATATATATGTTAGGGCCCGGCGGCATGGCCTAGCGGCTAAAGTCCTTGTCTTGACACGCCTGGATCCCATATGGGCGCTGGTTCTGTGGTCCCTGCAGCTCCCCTTCCCATCCAGCTCCCTGCTTGTGGTCTGGGAAGGCAGTTGAGGACGGCCCAAAGCCTTGGGACCCTGCACCCGTGTGGGAGACCCGGAAGAAGTTCCTGGATCCTGGCTTTGGAACAGCATAGCATCTGCTGTTGCGGCCACTTAGGGAGTGAATCATTGGATGGAAGATCTTCCTCTCTGTCTCTTCTCCTCTCTGTATATCTGACTTTCCAAAAAATAATCAATCTTAAAAAATATATATATATGTTAAATAATGTATACATATATGTTTTACTTGAGAGAGTGCACACACTTCTATCCACTGGCTCACTCCCCAAATACCCACACTGATTCTGACTGGCTTAGGCTAGCATAAAAAATTTGGAAATTAATCTCTGTCTCCCATGTGGGTGGCAGGAACCCTACTACTTGAGTCATCACCACTGCCTCCCAGGGTCTACATTGACAGGAAGCTGGAGTTGGGAGCTACAGCTGGGAATTGAACACAGACACTATGGTGTGTGTTGCAGGCATCAAACTAGTATCTTCACCACTAGGACTAAATGACTATCATTTGTTTTAATGTGTGCTTATTTGTATTTACTTGAAAAGGAGACTGACAAATATCTTCTGGTTCACTCCCCAGAACCCACAACAGCCAGAACTAGTCTAAGCCAAAGCCAAGAGCACAGACCTCCATCTAGGTCTCCCTAATGAGTGGCAGGGACCTGAATATTTGAGCCATCATCTGCTTCCCAGGGTGTGCATTAGCAGGAAGCTGGATTGGAAGCGGAGGTGGGATTCAGTTCCAGGCACTCTGATACAGGATGTATGCAACTCAAGCAGTGGTTTAGCCTGAAGAACCACAATGCCTGCCCTCCCCACACCCATCCTTACTTTTATGATTTAATTTAATATGGTTTAATTTTTGCCAACCATGAACTTGATAAAAATGAAATAATGTAGGCTTTACTCATTTTGTGCCTGGCTTCTTTAGTTCCACATAATGTTTGGAGGAGGTCACTATTGTTGTTCACTCGGCTGTAGGTCATTTTTTTGTTTTTAAGATTTATTTATTTGAAAGAATTAGAGAGCAAAGTGGAGTGAGCTTTCATTGTCTGGTTCCAAATGGCTAGAATGCTGGAGCTGGCACAAGCCAAAGCAAGACTCCTGGAACTCCATCCAGGACTCCCATATGGGTGCAGCAGCCCAAGCAAGGGCCATCTTTCACTGCTTTCCCAGGCACGTTAGCAAGGAACTGGACTGGAAGTGAGGCAGCTGGGACTCGAACAGGAGCCCATGTGGGATGCCAGTATTGCTAGGGGCAGCTTAGCTCACTGTATCACAACCAGGACCCTCTGGTTGCTGAATTTTTGCACCCTATAATGTCAAAGTTTATTTCTAATTTGAAATTAGTAAAAACAAATACTGCTACGGTCTTCATCATGCAGTTTTACAATGTAGTTTCCAAACTGGAAAACATCCAAATGTCCACCAGAAGTAAACAGTCAAGCCTATGGAATTGTATAATAAAATAAAAACATAAAAAAATAAAAAAAGAATAGTCAAATTGAAGTACATTCATATAATGAACTACCACTTAGTAATACAAAAGATCAAATTACTAACGTACAACAGCATGAACACATCTCGAAAGCATTGTGTAATTGAAATAAGAATACATAAAGTGTGGGTCTAAGAATAGACAAAACTGACCTATAGTGATTAGAAAAATCAGAAAGTGATCTTCGGAAAATTGATGGGAAAGGGGCATACGTCAAGAGAGTTTTGTGAGGTGCTAATGAGAGCGTCCTACTCTTAGGTGGTAGCTACCAAGGTGTATAAAAGCACCAAAATCCATGGAGCTAATGGAGTTTAATCCATCCAATTAAAACTCAGTAACAATTTAGGAAAAGTACTGTTTAGTTCTAAAATTTGTGATCCTAAACTATGCATGTTTTATGGAAAACACGTGGGTGGATATGTGCTGGGAGTGTAGCTGGCTGTGGAATGCTGTCTCTGTACCTTGACAGCTGTGTGACACTGGGGGATTGGGGAATCCCCTGGAGTCCCTTGGGAACACCAGCTTCCTTCTCTGTACCAGTGAACTAATTCTGCTTTGATGGGTGCCAGCCTCAGAAGATGCTTTTCATCGGCTGACAGACCTTTGCTCTTAAAATCACAGATGTTTGGGCCCGAGGCAATAGTGTACTGGCTAAAGTCCTCACCTTGAACTTGCCAGGATTCCATATGGACATCAGTTCTTTTTTTTTTTAAAGATGTATTTTTATTATTTTTTTATTGGAAAGGCGGATATACAGAGAGGAGAGACAGACAGGAAGATCTTCCGTCTGATGATTCACTCCCCAAGTGAGCACAATGGCCAATGCTATGCCGATCTGAAGCCAGGAGCCTCTTCCAGGTCTCCCATGCGGGTGCAGGGTCCCAAAGCCTTGGGCCGTCCTTGACTGCTTTCCCGGGCCACAGGCAGGGAGTTGGAAGGGAAGCGGGGCTGCCGGGATAGAACCGGCGCCCATATGGGATCCAGGCGTGCAAGGCAAGGACCTTAACCACTGCGCCATCATGCCAGCCCTGGACATCAGTTCTAATCCCAGCAGCTCCACTTCCCATCCAGTTCCCTGCCTGTGGCCTGGGAAAGCAGTCGAGGACGGCCCAAGGCTTTGGGACCCTGCACCTGCGTGGGAGACCTGGAGGAGATTCCTGGCTCCTGGTTTCAGATTGGCTCAGCTCCAGCCATTGCGCTCACTTGGGGAGTGAATCATTGGGTGGAAGATCTTCCTCTCTGTCTCCCCTCCTCTCTGTGTATCTGCCTTTCCAATAAAAATAAATCTTTTAAAAAAATCACAGATGTTCAGAAAATGTCACCTTTGAGATGTCAGTGAAGATGGACTACTGTGAGTTATTGTGGCACATAGAGTGAGCTTGAGTTTCTAACCCAGATGCAGAGTTTCAGGGAAAGGGTTTCCAGCCACAACCTTCCCCACGTGTCCTCATGTGGTAGTTTACAAGTGAACAGACCCTGAGTCCTCTCCACAGACTGGGTCTCAGGATGACTGCTTTTACACACAACCCCTGAGGGGCTCCCACTGTTCCATTTGCATTTCATCTACACTTGTCTTGTCCCCAAATCCTACACTCTGACCATGTTTGGGGACAAGTCATTTTTTTTTTTTACCTTTGTTTTTTTTACCTTCACCTTTGTTTTTTTTTTTATTGCAAAGTCAGATATACAGAAAGGAGGAGAGACAGAGAGACTGCTTTCCCAGGCCTCAAGCAGGGAGTTGAATGAGAAGTGGAGCTGCTGGGATTAGAACCAGCACCCATATGGGATCCCAGCACATTCAAGGCAAGGACTTAAGCTGCTAGGCCACCGCGCCGGCCGGACACGTAATTTTTCTTAGCAGTAGCAGTTAAGTAAACTCAACTTGGTCATGCAACGAGTGGTCTTTATCAGATGAGTTTTATTTGGGGGATTACTGATAATATATGTAAAATGGTTTCACACTGCCCGGTACGTAATAGGTATTTATAAGAATTGATCATTTTTAATTGTTCATGTTAGTACAATAACTAGTTATTGACAATCTAGTATTTGCAATGCACAGATATACTATTCTGAAAGATTGCAGATAGAAAACCACTTCTAATTGACATAAAGAAAACAACAATATGCCTGGCGTGGTGGCCTAACGGCTGAAGTCCTCACCTTGAAAGCGCTGGGATCCCATATGGGTGCCAGTTCTAATCCTGGAGGCTCTGTGAACATCCAGGTCCCTGCTTGTGGCCTGGGAAAGCAGTCAAGGACGGCCCAAAGCCTTGGGACCCTGTACCCACATGGGAGACCTGGAGGAGGTTCCTGACTCCTGGCTTTGGGTTGGCTCAGCTCCAGCTGTTGCAGTCACTTGGGGAGCGAATCATCGGATGGAAGATCTTCCTCTCCGTTTCTCCTCCTCTCTATATGTGCCTGACTTTACAATAAAATACATAATAAATAAAAAGAAAACAACTGTATTTTCCATTTCTAGGAGAAAAGTATCTTCAATGAAATTCACCTTAAATAGTGTCAGATGTAAATGAAATATCCTGAACACTTTAATTAGTTAAAAAGGATAGTCTACATGATGTGTTGTAAGATTTAATACAAAATGATGGGCTTTAAGAAACAGATTTTTAGGGCTTGGTACAATGGCTTGATTGGCTAATCCTCTCCTTGCAAAGTGCCAGGATTCCATATAGGCTTCAGTTCGTAGTCTGGCTGCACCACTTCCTATCCAGCTCCCTGCTTGTGACCTGGGAAAGCAGAAAAGGATGGGCCAAAGCATTGGGGCCCTGCACATGCGTGAGACCTAGAAGATCCTGGGTTCAGATCAGCTCAGCTCTGGCCATTATGTTCATTTAAGAAATCAACCGTAAATGGAAAATCTTTCTGTCTCTCCTTCTCTCTGTAAATCTGTCTTTTCAATAAAAATATATAAATATTTATTTTTACAGGTTTTACTAATCCTAACAAGAGCCTTCAATGATTTTTTTTTCTACAGATAAAAAAAATGCAAAAAAAAAAATGCTCTCATGAATGCATGAATGAAAAACAGAAGTCTGTTCTGAAAAGTACCACGGCTGAGGGCGCATGTTCAGAGTCCCTCCCACACAGGCAAGCTGCCTGCTTCCTCCGCATTCCCCAGAGATTGCAAAGCGGGCGTGAGCAGGGTGAGGCTGGCTACACAGGAAGCCTGGCCACTTCCTCTGCAAGACTCATCATGGGATCTCCTCGCAGACCAAGATCCTCTCCATAGCTTTCCTTTCATCATACACTCACACAGTGCACTCTGCAGGGGAACATAATGACCTTCACTCCCAATTATCTAAGGAAATGATTTTTAAATTTTAGGAGTTAAAAATAAAAATGGACCACTGTCTGTGTGCTGCTATGGTGTAAGGGTAATGTCAACAGCCCACAGGGGAGCTGGTTCTTGTACTAGCTGCTCCACTTCCCTTCCAGCTCCCTGCTTGTGGCTTGGGAAAGCAGCAGAGATGGGACAAGTGTTTGGGCCCCTGCACTCAAGTGGGAAATCTGGAAGAACAGCCTTGCTTTGGCATGGCCGGGTGCTGACAGCTGTCCCTCTTTGGAGAGGCGGTGAACCAGCAGACAGAAGATTTTCTCTTTCTCTCTCCCTCTCTCTATTGTTCAAATAAATATACCTTTTTAAAAAAAGACAGTTATGTGTCTTAAAGACATGGATGGAGCACTGTCATACGCTGTGGCACAGCTTGTGAACAAGTAAGTTGCAATGAGGATTCATACATAGTATGTTTTCACCCAAATACTATTTATTATTTAGGAGAGGGGTGAACTGGAAACCATAAAGTCCTTCACAAATTCTACCAAAGTCTTAGGGGACGAAAGTAGAGTGAGGAATTTCGGGTTACACTTCGGTTACAAACCTGAGTTTGTTGGTTGTTGGATTTTCCCCTGGTTGGGCTTCTCAGAGGGGCTGAGATCATCTGGTACAAATTTTATGGGAATGAAAAATCCTTTTCTCCTGTCTCAATTTGCCACTCAAGCATCATCAACCTGAGTCCCCGCCTCCAATGATATGACGTCATCGTCCTGCCCCGCACCCATAAGCCCCAACGGTTGACGTCATTGCCCCGCCCCGCAGCCCTAGGCCTGGCGGACGCGGGCACCCCTCCCAGCTGCGCCTGCGCACTGTGGGGCGGGGCGTGACAGACGCGTGCGCAAGGCGTGGAGGCGGGGACGGTGCGCACGCAACCTCAGCCCCTTCCCCGCCCTTTCTCTTCCCGGTTTTCCAGCCTGCGGGTTCTTTCTGACGGCAGCCTCCGGTCGCGGCTCGGTGCTGGGCGAGCCGGTGTCAGCTCGGTGTCATGTCCTACGGACCTTTAGACATGTACCGGAACCCGGGGCCTTCAGGGCCCCCGGTCCGGGACTTCAACAGCATCATCCAGACGTGCAGCGGCAACATCCAGCGGATCAGCCAAGCCAGTGAGCCGGGGCTCGGAGCTGGGGGGCGGCGGCCGGGAGGGCGTCCTGGAGAAGGGCCTGGACTGAGGCCCTCCGGGACGCAGGCCGGGGCCACGCCGGAGCCCCGAAGGGCTTTCCAGTCCGGGGTGGGCGGTGGCGGCGGCTGCCACTCCGAGACTGTCAGGCCCCGGCTCCCCGAGGGTCCCGAGCCCCGGGGCTGAAGCTCGGGTTCCTCTCAGGAGTCCAGCCCGCTCGGGGTCGGGGTCGAAACTGGGGTCCTGGCCGCCCGAGGGTGCGATGGGGTGTGTGTCACCCCGACAGCGGCGAGCACCGTGACCTGCGCCCGAGTGGCCAGCCGAGTTTTTCCTGTCGTGGCCTCCCCCGCCGCCCACCTCGCCTTCTTCCGGGGGCCAGTTGAGGGCCGCGGTTGTTTACTGTTGGGGGCTTTAGGTTTTACGTTCGGCCCAGCCTTTGCCTCCTCGGAAATCAGCAACTTTGAATTCAGGGAAGTGGAGGGAGGGGTGCGTGTGTTGTTTGGGTGACTGTACACAGTTCTTCCTGTAATGACTGGGAACATCAGACCCCGTGACTGTTGTTGGAGAGGTGGGATGGTTGTGTGTTCGTAAAGACAATTCCCTGAGAACCTTCCCATCTACAGGATTGTGTCTTCCTCAGTGAGGAAGGAGGGTGTGTTTTGGGTGCTTGAAGCGGATGGAGCTTCCCTAGTTAGCTACTCTGGGACTAAGCTGATAAACACGGTAGCCTGCACCACCAGGGCAGAGTTGGTGGAACTCCTGACCTCCCTCCTCGCCTCTCGGGTCTGAGTGAGACTATGTAAATGAGTCTGATTCTGGCCGTTTTCCATCGTTGAAAATCAGCTCAGAGCTTTAGAGACCCTGGGGCGGCTGCAGCAATTTTCCCTGATCCCCACCCTGGGGGTTTATTATCGTATTTTTGTGAGAGTTTGGCTGCCCTCTGTTCGTAGGTAGAACTGGTTGTTCCTGGATTACAATTATGTTGTCTATTTTAAGGCATAATCGATCACTTTGATTTTTGGATGTAAATGGACATGGTTGAATTTGAGACTGAGAACATTGCTGATGGGAAGGCATTGAGACCAGGAATCTGGGTGATTGGAAGTGGCAAGAATATGTGATCTGTTAAATCCAGACTTGTATGCTCACTGTAATTGGAGGATGGATCAGCATTCTGGTCCAGATTGAGATTTTCTGCTGAGGCCAAATCTCATTTGAATGTGCACTTTTAAAGTATTCATTTAGCACATATTTGCTTGAGTGTCAGGCTGTGTAGTAAGTGTAGCAAGTGGTGTGGGTTCCTTGTTGAGCATGTGGAGTACATAAACAACTAAGAAATGTAAAGTGTGTTAGGGCTATGGCAGTACAGATCACAAGTAGGCGTTCGGGAGAGGGAGAAACCATTTAGAGAAGGCCTGTGGCATTTGAACTAGTTCTGCAAAGGTAGCGGAAAAGATTTCAGCTTTGTAGGCAAAGAGCATTTGGGGAGGGAGCGAATACTGTGCTGGTGGGCAAGCTGAAGGTGTCACAGAGGCTAGGTGGTTGACTCTAGAAGGTCGTGGAGGATAGTGTTGGAAAGGTGAGGTGGGCCTAGCTGTGAAAGGCGTTACGTGCTGAGCTAAGGGAGTTGGGTTTAATTCTTTAGGAGTGTGCCAATTACAGGGAAGAGAGACTGGAATCACACAGTCTTGGAGAAGGGCCTGACTGAGGCCCTCCCTGACGCAGGCCCGGACCACACAGGAGCCCGGGAGGGCTTTCCACTCCGGGGTCGGCGGTGGTGGCTGCCACACCGAGACTGTCAGGCTGAGTTGGGGACTGTGAAATGAAAAGGAAGGAGAAGCTAGGAGAATTTTCCATGGTGATAGAATTGGTAAGATTTAGTTGTTGGTTGGACATCGGGTTGAAGGGGAAATTTAGAGTCACTTCTCAATAATTTGAATAGCTAAATTTGAGTACATGTTGTATGTCAGGCAGGATAAAAAGTGATGTGCATTTATTATTTAATTTTGAAAGAGCTTGTGAAGTAATTGCCAGTATTAGTTCCATTTTAGGGATTGAGAAACTGACTGGTTGTTGCCCAGCCAACAAATGTCAATGCCAGATCTGTCTCTTATGATTAGAAATTTGCTTTTTTATAATTTTAAATTAATACTAAAGGCCTGTAGCAGTTAACACTTCCAGTATGTAAGTGACTTCAGCTTTCACTCTAGAGGGACATTGTGAGGGGGTGTGCCTCATCTGTGGATCGTTTCTGTATGTACACACACACACACACACACACACACACACACACACAGAGCAAGTAATAGTGAGTGCTCTGAAGAGAAAGAAAGAGTAAGAGGATAAGCAGGTGAGGAAGAGGGAGGGTAAGTTGATCAAAAAAGACCTCTCTGAGGAGGTGGCGCTGGAAGCTGGGGAAGGTATCCTAGGCAGAGGACAGGAGCGAAGTGTGTGCAGCAAGGTCCGGGAGGCCAGCAGGGCCGGCCTGCAGTTGGAGAAGGGATGAGAAGATCGGAGCGGTGTAACCAGGGATCGGGTCAGGTGGGCTCTTCAAGACTCAGGAGTGTATGTTCTGTTGCTGAATGAGTGAGGGAGGTTTTCAGTTTGGCAACCCTTCCTGCCTCTCTCACCCTGTACTGGGAGCCTGGGTAGTGTGAATTGGAATTCTTCCCTTGGGATTGCTTAGTGAGGAACTGGGAATTTGGAATTAGTAGGACCTACATTGTGTTTCCCAGTTATCAGGCTGGTACGGATCCCTGAAGCCTCTCCTGAGACATGGCTGGCTAGTGGAGCCAGTGTGCCCTCAGAATGTGGGCTTGTGGACAGCAGCTCAGACCTGTGCCCACTGAATGCTTGAGAGAATAGGTCATTTTTCCCCCTCAGTGGTCAAGCACAGACGTGGGTTTGGGAGCGCTGAGCATGGCCACCTGAAGGACACGTAGTACCCGGTGTGTGTTGTTCCAGGTACAGCCAAGGCTGACTGCCTGGTACACACATTTGTTACCAGTCTGGGGAGGGTGTGCAGAGGAGAAGCACTTGACTCCAGCTATTGTGGAATGAAGGGGCTGGGCAAGTGTTGCTGAGACAGAAACAGGGGGAAAAAAACCCCAATAGTCTCCTTGTTAACTCTGAAGAGATTAAAGAAAAGCAGTTCTGTTCTTCCTGTGGCTGATTTATTGATATTTACTGAGAATAAGAAACAGTTGAACCTCATGATAGTTTTATCATGAGATTCTGTGGGTGGTTCTTTCAGATGGATTTTCCTATTCGCCCTTTTTATGTTGTCATCCCCTAACACCTGTTATTCCAGCAATTTACTTGTGGTCGTGCCATTCTAGTTCTGGTTGATAACACTGTCAGCAGTGTGTCCAAAGTCTTGTTGTCATTGTGTTACTCATCTCCTTGAGAGCTTCTGCTGGCTCTCTGTTGTCTGCTGTGGCACATCTTAACATTCCACCTGCTTTCACTCTTTCTGATTTTAATCCCAATTAGCCATGTGTCCTGCTTCTCATTCTTTGCTAAGATAGGACATTTTTCTTTCTTTCTTTCTTTCTTTCTTTCTTTCTTTCTTTCTTTCTTTCTTTCTTTCTTGCTTGCTTGCTTGCTTGCTTTCTTTTCTTTTCTTTTCTTTTTTTATTTATTTGTTTATTGGAAAGTCAGATATACAGAGAGGAGGAGAGACAGAGAGGAAGATCTTCCGTCCGATGATTCACTCCCCAAGTGAGCGCAACAGCTGATGCTATGCCGATCTGAAGCCAGGATCCAGGAACTTCTTCCGGGTCTCCCACACGGGTGCAGGGTCCCAAAGCTTTGGGCTGTCCTCAACTTTCCCAGGCCACAAGCAGGGAGCTGGATGGGAAGTAGAGCTGCCGGGACCAGAACCAGCGCCCATATGGGATCCCAGTGTGTTCAAGGCGAGGACTTTAGCTGCTAGGCCACGGTGCCGGGCCCCAGGACATTTTTCTTAAAGTTCATGAACTCTGATTTTTTGCTTATTCTGTTTCTCCTTTCTTTAGCACCTGTCTTCTCCCTGCCTCACTGGCTGTCTAAATTATAGAAATCCTAAAGGCATCCGTAGATGCCAGCTCCAGGTCCATCTTCCTGCTAATACAGGGAGACAGTGGTGATGGTTCACTTGATTGGAGTCCTGCCACCCATGTGGGAGGCCTGGATTGAGTTCCTGATTACTGGTTTCAGCTGGTGCTAGCCTGACCTAGCCCTGGCTGTTGCATGATTTGGAGAGTGAACCAGTGATTAGGAACGCATGTTCTCTGCTCCGCATTGGGGACCTGTTCCACAATTTCAGATACTGGTGTGGTTAAGCTTCTGGGAGCGGCACTCTTTCCTCTTCCTCCAGAAACAGGAAGTATAGAAAGGAAGATTGGAAGCAGTTGTCTCATCCACTTTCTCCCATTCCTTGACCCTTCCTATCCTAATCAGTGGTTCACGTGGGTAAGCATCCTTCTCAACTGTGTAAATATCATCAAAAATAAATAAATCTATTATGCAGGAAAAAAATCAAAGGAGTGCATGTTCTCTGTCTTGCTTTCTCTTTGGGACATCATTTCCTGTCTTCCTAGGGACACTGTCAGGAAGCTAGAGCAGAAGCAGAGTAGCCAGAATTCAAACCAACACTGTAATGTGGAATGGCTGTTGTGCCCAGCAGCAGCCCCATTAAGCCCACTTTGAAAGATCAAGGACTCATGGGACAGCAGATCTGTGGCTGAGTGCTGCTCCGCTGTATGCTAGTAACCTTGAACAGGTTCTTTCTTTTTTTTTTTTTTTAAGTTTGCTTCTTCTTTTTATTAATATTATCATTTTGTGATACAGTCCATAAGCCCTGGGATTTCCAGTAAGGGGAAGGGGACTTCGGGGGGTGGGGTAAAGAAAATCCCAGGTTATTTCTTTTTTTAAATCTGTTACCCTATCTGAAGTATGGTTGGAATTGTTAAAAGGCAGTGTCATTTGAAAGTGTCTAGTATATTG